TCCAGAGATGGGGACTCGACCCCTTCCCTGGGCAGCCCATTCCAGAGCCTGACAGCCCTTTCGGTGAAGAATTTTCTCCTAATGTCCAACCTAAACCTGCCCTGGCGCAGCTTCAGACCATTCCCCCTCGTCCTATCGTCAAATCCGGCAGCTACCAGCCTTGTCTGTTCAGCGGGCACGCACTGCCCATTGCAACGACGCTGCAGAACTAAATTTTGAGCCCCACAGCTTCCATACTCCAGGAAAAAAACACCCCCAAAACAAAGCAGCCCACAAACCCACCCCCCAAAAATGACATTCCTCCCACCTGCACGAAGAGCAGTCTCCCTAGGGTGCCAAGTTCAATTGTTTCAGACAGAAAAAAAACCACTTCATAAAACCAGGGCAGGCGACACCACTTGTTCTGCACGCCCTGTTTGAGCTGTGAAGGCCGGGACGGGTGGTGGGGAGCGCTTGGAGCGCAGCCACAAAGCTCTGCAGCCACCCGTGGCAGCCACGCAGCCGGAGAAGCCACGGGGCGCGGGAGGCCCCAGCGCCGCGGGGCCACGGACAATGCCAGCCTTTATCACGGCAAGTCAGATGGAAAGAATGGGAGACTGCCAGCTGGAACCCATTAACTAAAATATTTGCCTTAATGTGCAGAACTTAACTCTCCCTCCCCATATTCTGAGCAGTGACAGTATTTACACAGCTGTTTAGAAATACCGAGAAGGTTCCTGCCCTTTGTCTGGTAAAAACATGACAATGAGTTTCTGCAAACTTTACCAAATCCTAGGCATTTGCCACTGAAGTCTTGTTACCGTATTTTTCACCAATCCGGTTAGCAAAGTGGGTCCGAAAGGCGCTTGCTGCATTCCTCGGTCGGCTGCTGAGCCCACAGGGACACCTCTGCCCCCTCCTCCTGCCGGAGCTCCGTTTTCCTCCCCCCTGCTCACTGGAATGGGAGAACCAGCACCACGCAGCCGCACGGGCGCGTGTCGGCCGGCACAGCACCGATCCGCAGCGCCCCACTGGAGCAGCAGCAGCCTCGATGTTACCCCTTGTAAACCTTCCCCTGCAAATATACCTACGCAGTGCATTAAAGGTTATCCATGAAAAAAAAAAAAAACAAACCAAAACCAAACCAAAACTGATGTTAAAATTGAAGGCCATTTTATTGTCATAGCAAATACCAAAATAAAAAGGCTTTTAATTCAATACATGAGAAGATCAAAGACCGCACTGGTAAAGCATGTTACCATGCTGCCGCCAGCAATTCTCAGGTACCAGCAGTACCACAAACCTGTATGCTCTTTGTTATATAGCGTGGATTTAAAATTTAGATCTTCCTTTCAAGATTTCAGATTATGGAAATTAGGACAAAAGGTCAGTTAAAGAGATAGATGGAGTAAAGATTTACATGGAGTGACAGATCTGCTCTGGAAAATTAAGGACATTATTACATATAATGAAGAAAGCTGAATGAAAACACAACAACGGATTTTGGCATGTGAATACTCATATGATTTCAACTTTGTCTTTGCTTTTTTATTTTTACTCTGATTACAATTTAACTGCATTACAAGAATACTTCAGCAGTAATGTTTTCAATTAAAAAAAAAAAAAAATCATTAAAACCTATTTATTCCAAACTATTGTCTTCCTGTGAAGTCATACACAAGCACACTTCGTAATACCACTTTGGGTTCTTTGGGTCTTTTTCATTAGTGAAAAACACTCGCGTAGAAAGTAGGTTTTAGTTAGGGGTGGAAATCTCCAACACAAACGCAGAACAATCCCAACTGAGATCACCCTCAAAGGTTTAGGTACTATTCCCTTATTCCTAAATTTCTGCTCTTCCCTGCTCACACCCTTCCTGCAGAGACCTGTTTTGTATAGAAGTCGGTAACATTACAGCCTACCTATTGATGCAATTTTTTTTGACTGCCTGGTTGTCTAGTGTAGTACATAGGTCTGGAGATGGAACTTCCCTCAGCTCGTATTTTCCAACAAATACAAAGACGACAGACAGGAGATGGGACTTTTCTCCAGCAGAAACTGACGCTTATCTTTTATTTTGCGTTTTCAAGGATCAATAGTCACTCTCCTAACAGGGAAAAGAAAACTAAAGTAAAAATACTGGAACCAGCAGCTGAAATTAATCCAATTTCTATCTTAGTGTGATTGCCTTATTAAAGAGACTAATGCATATTTAAAACACTGAAGGGTGAAACCAAGGGTAGTACGTAGCAAGCGTTTGGGGCACAAGATGGTAAATGCAATAGGCTGGTCTCTGACAACTATGTTAGCACTTTCACTTGCATCATCTATCAGTACATTGGCCGCAAATTGTAACAGCAATTAATAAACCGTCTCTCCTGCCAAGTGGCAGATGGATTAGGGAGAGGGAAAAAAAAAAAAAAAATGTTCTCTCTAGGCCTGAACTTTTGTCTTTAACACCCCCTCAAGTTTTGCATGTGTGTAAAACAAAACCCTATTACCTCTTTGCATCTGGTATGCGAAGGATTAATCAGTTTTCTGAAGTGAAAGGTACGTTATATAGCATTGTTCTGAGTGAAAAATTTATCTTTGGGCAGTTCAGAGACAAGAGGTTCTGTTCTTTGTCCTGTGACTTTTCAGTACGATGTTTTGTGCCCTTTGCTCCTGGTAAATCTTCCTTTCACAGGGTCTAATTCAGAAAAAAAAAAAAAAAACAAAAAACCAAAACAAAACCATCAAGTAACTCTGTTCCATGCATTTCAGTTTACCTGAATGTTCCCTTTCTACAACAACACTGTAAACACTGGAATCCAGTTGGCCTTGCAGAGGCAGGTAACTACTGTAACGACCATGGGACTTGTCATTCGAGCAGTTACTCGCCACTGAGGCTTTTTGCAAAGTCAGGGTCCCTGAGACAAAAATTCTTTTCTCCCTAGTTTCTCCTAATGACGATGACTGTGACAAGTACCATGCCTGCAGTCTGGTTTCACTGAAAATCAAGTCCAATTACCCAGTGGCAGGACACTGCCTCCACCAGCATGCCTACACTCCCCACCGAGCGGCTAAACCGCTGGCAAAAGCCTCAAAACACAAACTCCCCCCTTTGCCCTCCCCAAATACGACAAATGGAAACCAAACCAGTGTTAAGCTACCAAAAATGAACAGTTTGGGCCACTACCTGCACAACACAGCCTAAGGCTTAGATCCCCCCCCACCTGCAGGACTGCAGCTGAACTTGCGTAACTCACTGTGCACGTGGTCTCAGCTGCCCTACCAAGGGAAAAAACCATCGGCTCAGACCTCAGAAAAAGGTGGGTTTGTGCATTTGCTACACCCTGCGCTCAGGACAGACCTGGAGCATAGACATGGGCTGTTGCCTTCAAGCAGACACGCGTAGTGTACAAAAGTCTAGCACCTTTTTTTTAAAAGGGGTTTGAAATAAAGTATTTGAAATTCCCAACAAGAAAAAAAACCCAAAACAAGTTGTAGCAGCAAATCCCCTCCCTCCAAACCCTCAAAATTTCTTTAATTCCAACTGCTACAAACCACCTCAATCCAAAATTAAGTACCCATCTAAGCTGGCTGCAGAACAGGTAGTCTAGCTAGCCTCTCCAGAATAATTTGGTCTCCATGTCCAAGAGCAGAGAGGTGCGTCTGGAGGACATACCTGGAGCTGGCTGCTTAGAAGTTACCAGAAAAAACACCCCATAAATACCAAAGTCTTTGTGTCTAATTGTCATACAAAAGATTGAAAGGATTAAGTCTGATTCATCTCTTTCGGTACAGGAAAGGGGGAAAATGAAAAGGAGCTTCCCAGTTCATGTTTCTTTTGATATAAAATGAATAGAAATCTTTCTTTTCAGTTGACTTTATGAAGTAGTTTTGTGTCCTCATTGGTTCCTGCCCCATCCTCTTCTTGGATTCCCTCTGCCAGTCCCTCTGCAAATTTGCTCTGGCTTCCCGCATAGTCCATGAACATGTTGGGAATATCTTTGCCAAAATATATCTTGCTGTTTGCTGCGATAGCCTTGTATTTCATCAGCTGCAAGTACTCAGGAGTTAACTTCAGCTGCACAAAAAGAAAACAGATCACCAACAGCTTGGATTTAGTCAAAAGCAAATTCCTGCCATGAGCATACGAGGCATCCACTTTTCCACAAGGCTAGCAGGCATGCTCGTCCTCTCTTCGCTGAGAAGACGGAGTGCCCAGAAGAAGGCTCTCTTTCAGTATGCCAAAGCGAAGCTCTAAATCCCAGTGACTAAATGGCAAAATGAGAAAGTGATGGAAGCAGCTGGGGAAATGTTCAATCCAAACATACCAGAGATGGAGATGCTCGAAAGCACATAACTCACTGAAAGCCCTTGCAATGCAAGCTACTGGAAAGAAAAATACAACTGGCTTTTTTCCAGCGAGTAGATTGACGAGTCTGTTTCGGAAAGCAGAGCTCATTCGTTCAGGATAATTACATTATAACAGAGAGGATAGAATAACTGGGACAAAACTTGTGCACCGACATCCCAGACCTCTGTCCATTCTCACTGACCCTTACAAATCAGAAAGTCTTCCTGCTGGGATGTCCTGGGAACTTGCTGTAGGCAGTAACAAGCCTGGCAGTTCTATCCATATAATTTCTCTGTTTCCAGGTTTCTTTTTGTTTGGGTGGTGGTTTTTATTTTTTTCTTTTGCAGGACCAAGGCTTTGCCAGCCTAGTTAGTTTGGTGCACAAGATCAGCTCTGTTTGTTCTTTACCTGAACACGTGTTTACTCTCAGCTTGCCTATAGCTCTAGAGATCTCCCTGCTTTGCCTGCTTGCCAGCTTGCAGGCTGGAATGAATCGACATTTCTGATTACAACAGTGTGAAAGGGCAACACTGAAACTGATATCCTCTCCACAGAGCACGCCATGGCCCTATTAGCATCTAGCAGAGGCTGTCTCCAGATGACCAGACATTTCAGTATCCTGACATAAATTTATCTGTCCAGAGAAGAAAATTAATTTGCAAATAAGGATCTAATTGTTTCAGTCCGGTGAAAATTTTTCTGAGAGGAGATGGCTTTGTTTTGCTTTTTGACTTAAACAATGAGACACAACAAGCAAACAACAAGCAGACTGCTCTTTTGCTGAGTGCTTCTAACAGCCTAATGGAAGGAGCCCTGCTTCAAGGCACAGCGTAAGGAAATAACAATACCTTGTTAGCCTCGGCTACTTTCATAGCAGTGTAGCATTCAGCATCAGCTCTTGCCTTCTCTCTCGCAAGGAATGCGGCATCTGGAAGAAAACACAGGCTCTCATATTCAGATTTTTATTTCCAGCCACGTTAGCACCATTTGCAGCTGGAAACTTTTTAAAGTGGCCAGTACCACATCTAAACTGTACGGGATACAACAAGGGGAAGAGGGAACAAAATGGGAAACTCAGAAATGGGATCTCACTTTACATCTAAAACGCTGCAGGATGATAGCATTAAATAAGTAAGTTGCATCTGCAACTGAAGGCCTCAAAGCATTTTATAAACATAAGGTTGTTATTACTAGCCCTGTCACGCGGGCTGAGAACAC